ACAACTTTTAAGGAGATTAGTTATGGACCTGGTTATACTTCCACACCTGCTTCTATTCATTTTAATGGCAATAAGTATCCATGGTTCTAATTGAAACAACTTAAATTAGTTTGACTCAATTTTTGAAATTTAGAGTTTGAGCCTTTGAGTTCCTAATTGAACTGCTCTTCAATTGTTAGGGACCATCCATTCAGTTTACCCGTTGATGAATTTTAAGGTTAAATCAACTTCTTTTTTTTTTTTCCCTTTCCCATGTCATCTTAACTCTGTGCTTGGATTTCATGGCATGTTTATCATTTAAGTGTAATTTTATCTATAGGTGCATGTTCTTTTAAAGGATGAAAAGAACATAACAACGGAAATGAACACAGGATTAAGATTCTATCTAAGAATTGATGTGAACATCTCTGAAGAATTTAAGGGTGAATAGTGCCATCAATCCTTATTCCCATGAACCACATTTTCTTTATTCATGAGATTATTGCAACTTTTCCAGATTCAATTGATAGAGTTCTGCTTTAAGTAATTTTCATTTAGATCATGTTTTATACTGTCTGTAACGATATGTATTGTGAAGAAAATTTTGTGACACATTAATGTGAGCTAAATCAAATAGATGTGTTTGCATGCAGAACCCAAGGGACAAGAGGGAGATCTTTTGTGATGAGAAGCTTAAGGCCCTTTTTGGTGGAAAGGAGAAGGTTGGTTTCTTGGAGATTGGAAAGTTGCTAGCCCAGCATTTTGTAAAGACTAATTGACTGCTTGTTTTCAAAAATCCAGTTTCGGTTGTCCAACCTCTATTGAACAAAGCTCTTTTAAATTCCATCTATCTTGCATCCCTTATGATGTATCCCAATGAATAGCTTTTGTTTTAAGAGCAGAACTCCTAGGGTTGAGTTTGCAACTTAACAGGTTTCTAGCTGGACATGTTGTAAAAATTTGGTAGGAAGAAGATGATTAGCTTTCTTATTTGCTTTGTGATTTGAAGTTCACTGTTGGTGATATCTGTGCTGCTTCGACTGACCGGTAATATACGGTGGGGAACAGTGGTTGAAATGGAATGCATATCAAATTGTGGATTATGCATAACAGATACAGTGATCTCTTGCAAGGGGTACAAAGCCAAGTTATGCTTTAGTACCCTGTTATTTAAATTGCTTGGGGTACACAAGCTCCATTCATGGAGTTGGACCTTTATCTAGGATAAACTTATCATTTATCAAGTTAAAGCTTGGTAGAAAATGAACTCAACCTCAAGTAGTTTTAAGACTCTTTCTTTTGAAATGGTATATATACTTAATTTTTTAAAGGAAAAAAAAAAATTAAGACGTTAAGACATCCAATCACAATCATAATTATTAAATAATTGAGGTATTAAGTGACTTTTAACTTTTATTAAATTTATTATATTATTATTATTAGACATTTTTACATTTTTAATGTAAGATGTTATGATTTTTTTTTCTTTTTAAAATGTTTGATTTACTTTATGAGATTTAATTGGGCTTAAGATTGAGAATGACAAGTTGAGCTTGAATTGTGCTATAAAAGTTTTTATGCCCGAACATCTGGACATGGTATACGGTAATTTTCCAGTTTTTAGCTCTTTAGAAGAACTAGAAGCATTTTGAATGAAGGTTGCAAGAAATTTTTAATTTAATTCGTTTCAAATTAGTCCTTACTTGGTAAAAGGTTTTATGGAGCAAGGGATTTAAGTTCTAGCCATCAAATTAGTCCTGGAAACTCTTGTATCGCCTAAGTCCAAGATTAGCATTCAACATACATGATTTTTGAAGCTATTCCCCAATTTTGAAATTAATTCTTGACTTTGCCCTGGTACATTTTCAGTGTTTAAGGAACACGTTGAGATCTTGAAAATTTCAAATTCAAATTGCCTTAGTACCCAGATTTTCTACTCTTTCTCTTGTTTTTTTCTTTCTCCTAACTGCTGCTGCTTCTCTCCCCCCTGGTGGGTAGGATGAATGGCTAAATGTTGGAGTTCTCCTCCGTTGTAAATGCTTTTTCCTCTCTTGTGGTGATTTCTCCCTCTTTTTTGAGGGTTTTTACCTAAACTTTCTTGTTATTTTTTATGGTAATTCGCTTTTCTTGTTAAATGAGGATGACAACTTTAACATAATATTAGTTGAACTCAAATCAGTTGTCATACTTATTTCGACAGTTAAAGACATGACTAGGAATATGTTCTTTAGCTAAATTTTTCTACCCTAACCAATTTATCTTCGGATTGGATGAATTATGTTAAATTGCAACTTAACTGTTTAATTTAAGCTTGAATCCGGTAGCAATATTCATATAAGTATTAAATTATTTGATTTTATATTTTTACATATTTTATGAGTGTAATACCTTTTGTGTATTACTCCATTTAGATTGATCCTATAACTTTTATGGTTTTTATATATTAATGAAATTATATTTCTTATAAAAAAATGCCTTAATACCATTTAACTATTTATATATGTTTTTGGTAAAGTCTTGTGTATTTCAGTAATAGATTGTGTTGAGAAATGGAGAAATCAAAGTTTTTGATTGTTGTACTAACGGGTCAAATCTTCATTGATGTAAACATGTTAATTAGGAATTAGAGGCAACGCAAAACAGTCCCAAAATTTGAGTTTGTTTAAATTTATTAATTTCTAAAATTACAAATTATTTTATGAAAAAAAT